AGCTCTAAAATTAAGCTGACCTGTTTGTTTATAACTTTTTTAAACTTATAAGTTGAGCTTATAAGCCAAAAAAAATAAGTTGGGAGGGAGATACTTTTTTTTTTTTTTTTTTGCTTATAGCTAGTTTGACCAAGTATATTACTACATTATCCTTGTTTAATTTTAAAATTTCATAGTATACCCTTGTTTAATGTAGTACTATTTTAGTCATTTTATAATAAATGTACTTATAAGTCACATTTTACCAAACACGTCAACTACTTATCATCACTTATAAGTACTTTAATCAAACACGTATACTTAAATTTCAAATGCTTATAAGCTAAAATTAACTTATAAACACTTTTGCTTATAGCTAATTTTCTAAGCTCAAACAAACACCCCCTTACTAGCAAGCAAAATAATGAAGGAACATTCTCTCTTATTACAGTAGATCCGTCAAACCCCAAGCAAACATGGATCACAAGAAGATCCAGAAAAAAAAAATCCTAATAGGGTGAATAATATATATCAAAATTAAGAAAATACCTTAATTAAGATAACATTTCAAGTTCCAGGATAGCTGGAAAAAGTTGGCTACCAAACTGGAACATGATAATTGGAGTTCTGAAAAATTCTTTATAACGAAAAAAGAAATTAATTAACATAAAAGAACGGGCAAAACACATATAATGCTAAAGCAAATTGTGTTCCTCCTATAACTCTATAATTTATTCATCACTCCGCCGCTGCTCCATTTATTAATCTCTCCGATATCATCAATGATTGAAGTTGAAATACTTGGAGCCATTTAATTGCTGCTCAATAGAAGGATTTCCTCAATCTGTCGAGAGAGAACGAGAGCAGGAGAGCCACCAGCTGAGATTGAAGATATGCTTTTATAAACCGCAAAATCTTTTTCTTCCTCAGCAATTGTGGCCAGCATTATTGTCAGTGGTCGTTTGGCCACGGAGATGAACTGTGGTGGTGCGACTTCTGTTGAAAACCTTGGAGTTTGTAATTTGGCCATTGTTTCACAGGAAATTAATGAAAGGTTTAGAGAATTGGGGTGAAAGATTATGAAGAGAAATTAAAGAAAGGAGAAAGTGAAGAGTGGAGACGGTTTGTTTTGATGAAGGTGAAGGTGAAGGGAAATTATAAGATTGAAATTCCTTGTGGGGGTCTTGCGAAGATAGAGACTTTGCTGTACACATTTATTGGGTCGGTTTGCTAGTGGGACTGGTACACTTTCTGTAACTATCATGCATTTTCATTCGGCATATGGCATTTTGATTTCCTTTTCAAGAGATAATTCATAATGGTCAACAAAAATTCATCATAATACTTTTATCATTAATCCAAAAAGTTGAATAATCAGTCTTATTATTCTAATATGTCAATAACATAATGACTTTGTATTTCTTGTATATTAAAACTTTTTAGAAATTTAAGACTAGAAAGACTTTTACATATTTTTTATCACGTAACAACTTTTCTATGAGACCTTTGCTCTGATGAGCTCTGTTCTACTGTGATAAGCTCTATTCGAGTAAGTTGTACTAAACAGATCCTAAATATCTTCTATTAGGTTGACAATGAGGTACTCTTCTACCACACTTCATGTAAGAGAGTCTTAGATATAATTTACATACTTCTTCAACACAAAAATTTTCGGTAAATTTTATTATTTAACATAATCAATCATATTAATAATATTAATACCAAAATTGACGACAGACATCTTTTTATTTAATATTTTTAATATCTTAAACTTTTTCCTAATCATAAATCTATGAATGACTCGATATGTCCTTCCGACTTTCTCTCGAATGAATTATACACGTGGCATTGTCTAATTAGAACAAAATTAAGATGGCCCTTGAAGAAGCTCAAGGGCTGCCTTATCCACAAGTTTCCTTTATTCACAAATTTCTAATTAACCACGTGTACTTCATAATCTTTGAGTCGGCTGAGAATGGGCTCATTTTGTATGCACGTGAATCTTTCACACGGGATATGGGTACTTGAATTGTACATATGACAATTACAAGGAAATTGAACAGTTTGATCTAACAAATTTTAGTCACGCCAAGCACAAGCTACGAACGAATTGTGTGATCCACATTCGATAATCTTTTACAGCTAGCTGGGTTTAAAATGTGGCAAATCGAGGCATACTTTCCAGGGACCATTAGAGTGTGGCTCAAAATCTTGACTTCGCCTGCAGGTAAGTAGGCAATAAAGAGGAAGCCCCGACTTGTTATTATCCCACAGAAGTGTCTTCTGTTCTCCTTGTGCCCATAATATGATCTGTCTCTGAAATAGATGGTATCTTATCACGATTATCAGTTGTCACTTGCTGCAATGAACAAATATACTATTGATGAATAATTCCAACTTATGATATGATAGAAACCCAAGGTTTCTCCTGCAAAAGTTCACTCACAGACCACCACCCAGGTCACTCTGAACTCCAATGGTCAATAGCCCAGAATTTCCGGTCACACAAGAAAAGTTTAAACACTTCACACAATTGAAAACACAAGCAATGCTGAATAACCTCAATATCTATATTAAATAACAACTATATGATATCACTATTCTAATAACAGTTTATCTACAACTAAAATTAAGCATAATCAGAAAGTAAGCATAAACCAGTTCATCAAAGATGAATTTGCATACAAATAAAGAAACCCATTGGACTTCGAGGGCCAGCACCTCCCCAACCCCTTTTCCTTTTACAAAATCAATGATGATGATAGATCCTTCCCATTCCCTTTTATTCTTCGCACTCTCTTACTATAACCAAATTCAGCTTCCCTTTATTTTTCCTCCCATACACTAATGTGTTGTTGGTCTCATCATGGTATCAAAGTTTCTAAACCTACTTCTAGTATACTTTAGAAAGATCTCTTATCTCATGTTATTACAAGTTGCAGCTGCAACTCATGTTATTACAAGTTGCAGCTGCAACTGCAACACCACAGAATTGAACGGCAATATAATCAGAGGATGTTCAATTCGTTAGAATTTTCTCCGAAATGTCATACATTTGCAATCTCTACCAAAATACGGCAGAACTAGCTAAATTCTACTGTGAATTCTCTCTTGTTACTACATTGTGTATTTTACTTGGTTTAGAAAGAAATCTACAAATAAATTCATTTGATGCAAAGAATGTTAATGGCCACTACATTTGTTTATCAATATCTAAGCGTGGTAATCTTGAAAGGTACAATGAATAAGCATTTGCACTCAACATCCAACCTATAGAATAGTGATTAAATACTTAAAACAGAAATAAAACAACTCTTTCTAGAACTTAATATATAAAGAAAAATGTGAAATTTCTACCATACCTACCATACATCTATGTAATGGTCCATACCTTCCTGTGCTGTAGAATGAACATGAAGAAATGATAAGGATATTGCTTTTCTCACTGGTTTGATATTGAAACTTGAAGTCATGCAAAAATTAGCACCGCCCAGATGAATGGATCATTCTGATTTCTATCACACTACATGCTCTTAATGAAGAGAGTGTAATTAACATGATGCTGTTTGATTATAATGGATGATTTAACTATAGTCAAAGAGCAAGTATAAGATTGTATGCCTCAAACAGTATAAAATAAAAAATTGAGCCTTCTTGTTGAATACAAATTAGAGGGATAACCACAACAAATTTGTATCAATCTGAAAATACCTGAACCAGAAATCCAAAGAGGTTGTTTCCAATGTTTTAGTAACCAACCCGGGATGAAACTCGGCAAAGTGGCGAGTCTCGGGTTAATTGGTTTAACTGGTTTGACCGACAGGTCAAACCGGTGCCAAAGGTTCGAAATCCAACAAAAACACCCTGTAAATTTTATAAGTCCTATAGGTTTGAAATTTTGCAAAAACACCCCAAACATAATCGTTGACGCTGACAAACCAAGGCAAATAGGGCTTGTTTTCGACGATGACAACACTCCCCATCACTGCGAAAACACTCCCCTCAAACCGGTGTTCCAAGGTTTGAAATCCAACAAAAACACCATGTAAATTATTATAAGTCCTATAGGTTTAAAATTTTGCTAAAACACCCCAAACATCATCGTTGACGCTGACAAACCAGGGCAAATAGGGCTTGTTTCCGGCGATGACAACACTCCCCATCACTGCGAAAACACTCCCCTCAACCTCCTGACCAAAACCCATCTCACCTCTCCCTCAATTGCCTTGCCACTATTGTCGACGATTTGTTTTTACGATTTTCAGTCGATTCACTCACCGAAATTCACCTCTGTTGCCACCATTCCACTCACTGTCCCTTCCTCTTTAAAACCCCTAACATCCCAGCCTTCAATTGTTCGCCAATCGTCCTTCTAATTTTTAGGATTTTCGATGAATAGGAAAATTGGTAACCTAATCTAGTTCAACCGGCTGGGCCAGGCCGGGTTCTAAAACACTGGTTGTTTCTACGGTTCTTCACAAATTTACAATTTGGTTCTTTCAGGTTTTTGGTTATAACATTCTCCTCAGCGAACGATTGAAGTAGAATTGTTTTCCAAAAGTGGGGGAAATAGTATTGCATTATCAGAGTACACAAGTGGACATCATATTAAGATAATTACTATTATACCTTTTCTCGAAAATGAATGCTATATAGCTTAAAAAACAATAGTTTTATACTTATTTTCCTTTGGGAAACAATGATGTATATGGAAAGATTCCTGCGACGACGAGAGTGCTCTATTAATAGAAGTTCTGAAATTCAAACAGTTGTACTTTGGGAAAATTTTATTTTGTTCCATGTCTATTACATATCCGTGGAAGCAATGAAGCATAATGCAGGCACTATGCAACTTGTCTTTTGAAAAATTGTAAACCAAGGAAGCAATAGAACTTTAGACTGAAAGAACCAAAAAGTTACTGTTTAGGTAATGTTTATCCAAAGTTATATTTTAATGAGTATTTATAATTTTATAGCAAACAAAAAAAGAAAAAAAAAAAAAAGCTTTGCGAGTTCTTAAATTGAAAAGAAAAAGTGACTTTAACTTTTATTTATATGCATATCAGAAGTTCATGGCACATTGCTACCTGGCAACAAGAATATTCTCAAACAGACTGAAGAAGATCCAAAACAGATTTCCTATCAGGCATGCTAGGAATGGCTCCCTTCACTTGGACACAGAGAGAAGCAGCTGCGGCTGTAGAAATTTCAATTTGACATCAACTAATATTAGTTCCATGATTATATAGATGCATATATAATAACACCACTATGCGTGCCAACATTCTTTTTGGCAACCATACCGGCAAATCTCAAGCATTCCTCTTTGGACTTGCCCTCCACCAGAGCCACGGCAAAAGCAGCAGTAAAAGTGTCCCCGGCTCCGGTAGTGTCTAGGACTCTTGCAGCGGATATGGCAGGTTGTATAATTGGTTTTTCCCCTTCTACAAAAAAAGCCGACCCTTTGGCTCCAAGTTTCACCAGGACTTGCTTAACACCCTGGGCGGAGACTCATTAGAGAAATTTTGACAAATTCAACTCAAAGCTTAAATCTATAGGCACAAACCTTCTATTGATTTATAATCCTGTGGAAGAAGAAAATAGGAAAAGTTTGCCTACGATAGAACAACTAGTGAGATGATTTCGTTTAAAGCACACATAAGGGCATCCTGTGGAAACTGATTGGTGCCTATGTCCTTCACTTTAAGCACAGTATGTCTCAATGAAGTGCCTAAGCCTCATAAAATGACCTAATTACAAAATTTGTATTCTTTCCATTCCATGACTGCCACAAGCACAATGCAAATTTGATGAACATAACAAATTAACAATGAATAAATTTCCATTACACTCCCCACCTGCCAATTTTTTTTTCTTTAGCCACAAATTTTTGGGTCCCAAAAAAAAATTGTTTGCAAAAGGCAAGTACATCACAAAATCTTCAAAAATATCATTTATGTGCGCCAAAAATAATAATAAATAAATGACACCGAATATTATGTATCGTCCAAACTTTTATTATTGATATAATAATAAATAATAAACCTTTAATGAATTAAATGGTACAACAAAACTGGGCGGGCACTTTCATGACAAAAGTTACCAGCCCCATTAATTTTCAAATGTATATAATAAATTATTAAATTAAATATGTAATGATTAAAAGTAACAAAAAAAAAAAATTTATTTCATGATTTTTTTTTTCTACCAGAGAAGCTTTTGTCACTTTTCTCTTTCAAAAGTGTTGTCCACTTTTTAACAAGTTTTTCACTTTTCTCTTTTATTACTTATGTGTTCTCTTTGAGAGAAAAATGCTCATTACATGTACACATTACTGATTTACTATTTATGAACACATAAATAATAAAAAAGAAAAGTGAAATAGTCAAAAAGAAGCTTTACTTGGTAATAGTACAAAAAGATAATATACCTTAACTATTACATATTTAATAATTTATTAAATACACTTGTAAGGAGCATTTAACGTTCCTTGAATAAATAATGTGGCAGACAACCTTTGCCATGAAAGCTGTCCACCTAGATCCTTAGATTAATCCAAGTATGAATATAACAAGAGTTTGGACGATATGTAATATTCAGTTTCTTGTACAAGAGAAGCTTCGTGTGTGTGTATATATTAAGGGAGATTTCAATAGCCCTTCTTTTTTAATACAAACTTTGACACAGGTTTGTGTCCCTTTCATTAAAACAACTTGAATATGACATCATTCTCTCTCATACATTATACAGGATAGAGATCATATATAAAATAGATAATATTTATATAAATTAATATTATGATAAGTCAAAACATTAATTTCTACATCGACCTTATCTTGACTATTCAATTTATTTTAATCAAATATATATTTATATTCACATATTTTCAAATCCACAAATCAACTCTATGACACATAAGTTGATAGTTCATGAAATTTTGTCTTAGGCAGACTCACTTGGTGGAAAAAAATAAAAATAAATAAATAAATAAATTTTGCAATTTCTTGTGAGATCTTGACTTCAAGAATTTAATCAAACCTCCAAGAGTTAGGTATGGATTTTATGTTAGCATTTTAGGTAAGAATTTCTATACATATTTATACACACTCATAATCAGCTCTGAAAATGATCTTTGTGCCACATATGGCCTCAAAGCCAACAAAAACAACAACAATGATGATGATGATGATGATGATGATGATGATGATTATAATAAAAGAGACAGACGAACATTTGTGTGTCAACACTCACCATTTCATGACATTTCAACACAGCTTGACTAATCTGTTCAAAACTGTCAGTTGGCACTCCAGTCAAACGACCAAGTTCACTTTCATTTGGGCTGAAGATATCAATAAAGTTAAACAGCTCTCGCGGGACTGGGGCATCCATTCCCCCTGCATCTAAAACGACAGGAACACCGGCATTCCTTGCCGCCTAAAGATATGAAGGTGTTAGATTATAATAGAATTATTAAAAGAAATGCAAATCAGAGAACATCATCTATATCCAGAATGCAATAACAATATTATTATAGAAATTAAAACTCAAACTATTCAGACTCTGGCAGCCAATGATACCATAATCAACAATCTATCATCAGTTTGGAAGCTCAATAATTTCAGCACATCATCATGAGCAACGACTTGTGAAAAACACAACTACCACCCAACCATTTTTATCCTTAACCTGAAATTCCAGTGATGTTACATTCTTAAGAGGCCACCACATTATTGTTCAACTCAACAATAAAGATGTTGAAACTCATGTCAGTAGCCATGTATAAGTCTAAAAGTCTCTACAATTTAATTCATGAATAAGGTTACATTAAAACAGTAGAATAAATATCACAAATCAGGTACGGAGCCCCAAAAAATGTTGTTGAAACTCGTGTCTGAAACTGGTTACTGTCTCTTCCACACAGCAGCAAAGATGAGAGGTTACTACTGCTTGTTATAGTTCATATGCAGTAGGGAAGATAGGGAAACACATAAGAGTTAGAGTTCGTAATCGGTAACTAATGGGATCTTGATTTGAGGTGGCAAAATATACAGACAGAATAACAAATCAAGTTGCTGTTAACAGAGCAGACAATAAATTTGCAATTTGGTTGAATAGGTTGAATGACTGATGATGTTAATTTTGGGTTTTGTTTAGTAAAAAGTTATGATTGGAAGGAATGAGAAACCAAGTCTAATAGTGTGTTTTGATAATCATACAGTGGATAATCAAAAAAAGAGAAAGGGAGGATCATGAAAGCAATCACAAACTCACGGTGGAAAATGTAAGAAATCACAAACTGAAAACTTAACTGAGAAACACAACATAATAATAATTTCTGAGTTGTATAAATCAACTCTGGATATCTTTCACATGTGTGTGTAAAACTGACTAGGAACAGCACTCTCTGTTTACGTGAATGGAAAATATCATTTCTGTACTTCATCTTTTTCCTCATAAACCCTAGTGAACTAATTGTTGTAAACTCTGATAACAAATATCTCATGAACCAGACACAAAATGATGCATATAATATACTAGTCAAAATCTTATAAGACACAGATTTTAGAAATCTAAATCTCAAGCACCAAAACTCAAAGATGAGAGAAAATTTTCAGATATATTCACTCATATCAGGTATACACATCAAACATCAAACCCTGTAAACATGCTTTCCTAGATGTTTTATTTGTGCAAAGACCAAACCATATTACATGCAACAACCTAATGCAAGAATTTTCATTGCCCTTACAATGTTCTCAACATCATGAAATTGCAGAAAACGATGACAATACTCTAGCTTGTCCCTGAAGCCAATGCAAGCAAATAGACTTATGCAGAAACCTGAATAGATCATTATTAGCCCGAAAAATGATCACTTGAGCAGATTTACCAAATAATAACTGATCATCAATAATGATTGGATAAAATGCATTGAATTAATCATAATTTAGAGATGCTCACAAATAAGCAACCTAAAACCAGCATCTTAGATGAAATGGTGAATGCAGTAGCCTACCTAACAATTATCAACACAATGACCCTCTTATGTCGGGATTCAGTAATTACAACCCTAGTCTAAAGATCCCATGATAGAAGTATTGTCAATTGAAATCATCAAGCTGATTTAACCGTCAAAAGTTTAATGATCTAAGTGTTAACCAAAAACACAAACAAATTCTTTCCGGATGCATGCAGTTTCACAAGAGCTTGCTTACATTTTCCATTACCATATTCCACATCCTATACCTGAGTTAATTTAGCCAATCAGGCTTACATTTTGTTTATTTCACTTCAAAAGCCCAACTCCCCTTCATAATTAATACATCTAGACACCTTAAAAATGTTTCATTTCCCTTAAACTGACTCAGTATTGCCCTATTTTATATCTGCCTAGCATATTTTGATCAAAACACAAATGGTAGAACAGCTAATGCCTTCAAACACCCTAAACAACAATTGCAAATCAAACTCACCACAACCAAGTCACATTTACCTATACAAAACCTAATCTTACAGAAATCCTTAAGGTAAACAACCACAAACACATCAACAAATCGAAAACAGAAAAAAAAAAATCTTGAAACAATCTCAAACCCCTCACCTTTGCAACTTGAATGTTGACAGAATCAGGAATTTCCCTTTGAAGCAAAACAATCCCAGCATTCTTAACAACCTTCAAGCCCTCATCATCAAATTTTTCAGGCCAACCACTCATATTTGTTCCACCAACAATGATAATAGAGTTCTGCCCATCAGCCTGCAGCATCACCACCGCATGTCCAGTGGGCAGATTCCCCTTCACAACACTCACATACTCCAACCCAACACCACACTCACTCAAAGACCCAGTAATCAATTTCCCACTAGCATCTTCACCCACTTGCCCCACAAAGTAAGTGGGGTGTGAAAGTTTTGCCCCGCAAGCAGCCTGATTCGCCCCTTTTCCTCCGGCAAGAGTCTGACTATTTTTAGCTGAGATCGTCTCTCCTACACCTGGAAGTCTGTCGATTTCTACATAGATGTCAGCATTGGCTGAGCCAACCACAACTAAAGGTGGGATCTTTGAGGGGTTTCTGGGAACTGCGGTCTTGTTTTGGTGCTCGTTTTTAATGGCGAATGATGGGAAGGAGCGGCGTTTGGTGAAGTGAAATGGGGCTGTGGTGATCGTTTTGGTGAGGTGTTTTGTTAAGGGGATGATTTGAGATTTGAGTCGACAATTGTTTGATGGTGAAAGCGCTGTTGCTGTCATTATTTTCTCGTTATTTCAAGAGAAAAAAGAATTTGAAATATGTGATTTAAGGAGAGAAAGTGGGTTTGGATAGGATGACTTCAACGATGATTGAATTAGGGAGTAGACACATGAGGGAGGAAATTTAACTCCCCCAACCACCCAAGTTTGCATTTTAAAAAAATGACCTGAAAATATTTTATAATTTTTTTAATTTAGAAAAAATGACGTGACATACTTAAGATTCATTAAATATGTAAAATAGGTTAAACTGAAAAGATTTAAATATATGTGAATAATATTATAATTAATGAAAGTTTGTTTAAATTTTGAAAATTAAAAACGATCCCCACCCTTCAAAATCGTTTAATCAAGCCAAATACCCAAAAAACGACCAACGAACACATGTGATTTCTCTACCATTTTCGATGACGAAAGTGCCCTATTTCGGCAAATATTCAATCATAAAGCTTCCTTACACAAAATCATGGCTGATATTCACAAAGAGGAGGAAAACCTAACCCCACTCCAAATCCTAGACTCTGGCGGCGGCGGCAGTTCAAAGGCTATCGAAGAAGATGCTCCAGTGGATCATCCGATGAGTGAAGGTGGTCTAGAGGCAGAGGAGACAACAGCAGCACAAGAACAAAGAGAAGAATCAGAAAACGGTTCTAAAAAGGAGGATACCAGCGAGAATTCAAGCGAGGAGGAGGACGCCGGTGAAGAAATGGTATGTTTTTTACCCTTTTTTTTTTAATTTGATGAGAAATTTGATTAATTTATATGAATTTGGGGGATATGTAGTTGGTTTTATTGTTATGGCGGTTGTGGGGTTTTGTGCATTGGGGGAATGGCTTTGTTTGGGTTCCAAAGGATGGGGGAAGGCAAGAGAGACCATATGGAGGTTGTTTGTGGGAGGTTGGAGGGTTGGGGATGGCAAGAGGTAGTGGAATAGGGGGAGCTGGAGGGCTGCCCTGCATATTGTAGTGCTACAATATGCAGGGCAACCCTCCAACCCCCCCTATTCTGCCACCTCCTACCATCCTCAACCCTCCAACTTCATAGAACCTGCCACAACAGCCTCTATAGAACTTGCATTGGCTTCCCCGGTAAAAACACCCACTCCATGATGCCCTCGAAGCCCACATCCCCCAAATTGGCAACCTATTGGTTGTTTTTTTTTACTGATATTTACTTTATATCGATTGTGCAGACTTTTCGAAGCGTAAACTATAAAGACTATAAGTTGGAGGTTGTAAGCGATAAGGTATCATACTTCCCCGTACGAGTGACAGTTAGGTCAAGTTGGCAAGTTTTTACGAGAATAAGGGAGATTTTACAAGAACAGAAGAAGGGTATTGACCGATTCAAAGAGAGTTGTTTCAGTCATTTTGTGAACATCGGAGAAAATTGGAAAAGACATTCTGGGGGCAAGGAGTGCATTATATGTTGCTGTACTCAGTTAAAAGCCAAAAAAAAAAAAAAAAAATGAAATGTGGTTTGTGGTAGATGGGAAGCCACTACGTTTTGGGATGATGAAATATGCCCTGATGATAGGCTTAAGATGTGGGGCATTTTCAAATGCGGAAGAGCAAGAGAGAATAAAGAAGAGTAGGGCAACCGATATCTTGGCTAAAAAGGTTTAGGGGGGAAGACGTTTATCACAGGACGCGANACGATCATTACAAATAATTTTATAATAAAAAACCTATTCTAATTTACATTAATAAAATAGAAGCCTCGCATTACATACAAGGGGAGTGAGATGAGGAGAAGAAATACATTGAGATTTAAGAGAGAGAGAGGCAGGACACGCATGCCTCTAGCAAGCACCCATGCGTTGCACCAGGTTGTCGGCAAACAACCTTGACAAGTGAGATCAGTCACTGTCTTTTGACAGGGTCGTTCAACACTATGATAGTCTTACCGTATTATCTGTGTCCTTGCTCAGAATAATACTAGGGCTACGGACGTTTCTAGAATGGCAACCATATGTGATCATAGGGTTCTCACTATCAAGATTTAAAATACTTGATACCCTCGTCACGGTTCTACCATCATGAGGACACATATCATTATATACACGATATAGGAGAATATGCCTTTTATTGATAAATAAAAATTTATTACAGAGTCAATTTTACAATAATTGATTAGCTCTAGGACACCTACTTTAACAACAACAACAGAAGTGCACAAGGGAACTTCCAGCCCAGCAATACTTAATGACTGCTCCTCTATGTCTATTAAATGCATGACACCAAAAGAGTTGCAAGAAAGAAGAAACAAGGGCCTATGTTTTCGTTGCAATGAAAAATTTACTTTGAGTCACAGGTGCTAGAAGCTGTTTGTAATTGAGACTATCTAGATGGAAAATATAAGAGAAGAAGACCCCCTCTGATCCTGAAGAAGAAAAGCCTACATAATTGGTCTTTGAGGTTACTTCTGAAATTTCTCTCCACGCCATCTCTAGGACCCTCACATCAAAGACCGTGAGACTAAAAGAGACTCTCAAAATAGCTCTAGTTGTGGTGTTTGTTGATTCTGGAAGCACTCACAACTTTGTGAGTGAGATGTTTGCAAAGTGGGCCTCCAACCTATAAAAGGTCGTACATTTGAAGTCAATGTTGTAAGTGGAAAGAAATTTGCAAGCCTTGGCAGGTGTAGTAATGTACCTTTATCTCTTCAAGTATTTTCACTTAAAAGTTGATTTTTACTTACTCCCTTTGGAGGGTTATTATCTTAGGCACCCAATGGTTAAGCACCTTGGGGCCCACCAGGTAGGATTTCTCTAAATTGAAAATAGGGTTGTCCTCAAGGATTTAAAACCCTGCCTGGCCTGGCCGGTTTTACAGGTTCGATCGAGAATCAGTGGCTTAGCCAGGCTGGCCAGGGTAGAAAACTGGGAATGAGAATTAATCCGTTTTGACTCGCGGTTGGACTAGTGTTACTGTATCGACCCAGCGGTCCAACCGGTTTTGTCAACTTAAATTCCTAAGTTCTAAGATTCAAATCCCTTTTACAATTTTCAATTAAAGACATAAGGCTAATCAACCCAAAAAAATAATCCTAATCAACGAAGCCACTAGAAGAAGAGAGAATCCAACTCGAAGAAGAGGAGAAAAAACAAGTGAGAGCAATTGAAACCCTAGGTCGTTGCTGTTGTAGTGGCAATGTATAATGACTCTCTCTCTAGCTAGTATACTCATAAAATAAATAGTAAAATTAACTAAATATATATATTACGAAAATATACATGTAGATGAGTATAAAATAATGGGCCCAAATTTTCTTTATATATACAAAACTATATATAGTGTAAATAAATTTCTCAAGAAGCTCAACAGTGTTGCTTGACCCTTCCGCATCTTGACATTCCAAGCAATCACATCTCATCTACTACCTGCAAAAAACATTGAAAACAACGGCGTGAGCACTAATGGCTCAGTAAGTAAACCCGCTATGCTACCTTTCTATCTCCGTTGCTCATATTCTGAATTCTTTCCTTACCTCACACTTCTCTCTTCTTCTCTGTTCTTTTCTATTCTTTCTCTTTGTTCTTTCTCTATTCTTTTTCTGTTCTATCTCTCTGTTCTTTCTCTATTCCTTTTCTGTTCTTTCTCTATTCTTTTTCTCACTTACTAACATGTAAGCACAATTAGAGAAACTAATTCTGAATAATATGAATATCATGATGCATATGCATTAATGCATAAAGAATGCAATTTCTTTTCTGTGTTCTATTCTTTCTTTCTTTCTATTATATTCTTTCTTTTTGTGTTCTTTGTTTTTTTTTTTTTTTTTTTTTTTNAAACCATAAGAATTCAAAACTTTAAAATTTAATCTCACATCTTGATGCTAGAATCTTACCTTTGGATGCTTAGGATTGAAAATCCACTCAAAAATACCGAAAATCTATGAATTTTCTTGGAAATCTAGTGAAGAAATTTGAGAGAATTTGAGTAGAGAATGGCATGAATGGAGGGATAGAGTGACTAGGGTTTCTCCTCTTGAACTCTTATTACATAATAATATATATGTAGTTTCCCATTTTACCCTTGCACTTTCTATGAAATTCCATCCATGTCCCTTAGTCAATTACAATACTGCCCTCATTTTTATTGCATTCTCCATGAAATTCGATTTCTTTTCACTCCCCAATTTTTCAACTAATTTTGAGTGAAAATATCATTTTACCCCTAATGAAAGTTTAAGAGATTTTCTTAACATTTTTCCCAAAATAACTTTAACAAAATTCAACTAACGGCATAAGGGCATAAGTTAAGTTACGTACCTCAATATGGGCGTTACACAATGGTGGTGGAGAATGGTGGAGGTGCATATAACAGTGGCAGCACACAGCTAATAAGAGAGAAGAAAATGAGGATTTTGTCAAAAAGGAAGAGTGAATGTGTTTGGGTGTTTTGGTGTAGAAGGCATGCACCTTTTGATTAAAGGAAAGCTGAAGAATCGGAAGAGCTTTAATAATTAAAACAGAAGAAATGAAAGAGTAAAGAACAACAAAGAGAGTTGGAGAAAGAAGTTGTTGAAGCTTTCTCTCTCTACTCTACTCTACTCTTTTTCCTTCTTGCAATCTTAAGGTAGAAGAGATTGAAAATAAATTATTTAATTAATAAATAAAGAAGGTGGACTTATATAGCATTTAATGAGCTTTCATTTAAAATAAAAATCAAATATTAAATGTCCTTGAAAAAGACGAAGAGTGTACTGTATTGCATTTAATGAAAAACAAATAAAAAGTTGTTTGTTGGTGGACACATTTCGATCATATGAGAGGTGAGAGATTCATGAGCTAATGAGATAAAGAAGGAGAAGTAGACAAAAAACATTGATTGGGTGATGAGATCAAGAAAATGATGTCATCAGTCTGATCTGTCAGTTGAATCAGTTGGACCAATTAACCCGAGACCCAGTCATCTGACCGGGTCATTGATAAGACCGGTTTTTAAAACATTGGTTGTCCTCACTAGAAGATAAAGTTATTGGGGAGCTTGAGATGCTTCACGCATTGAGACAAAAGCAGCAAGGCATGCTTCTCAATTATTTTCTTTGGGGGACCCACAACACCACATGAAGCCAAACTCTTAGAACTTCTACAACAATACAAGGATATATTTGAAGAACCAAAGG